TCCTCCTCCTCCTCCTTCACTTTACAGGCTGCACAGCACATATTAAAACTATAATACACAGTTCATTATAGCTGTTAACTTCTTTATTTTGGGATGTATCTTTAAAATATATAGAAATGTGTTTTTATTCAATCCGTTTGCACACTGTACTATTGTGTTTTTATACATACAGGTATTATGGAATAAGCAAATTGCAGAAGGTTTATATTAATATTAGCCCAGGCCTTTATTTGCTTCAGTCACTGAACTCACCCGGCCTTTATCCAGGTCGAACGGTTTCTCTGCCGTCGTTTTACAGCAGCCAGCCAGCAGACAGACAGACAGACAGGCAGACAGACAGACAGACAGACAGACTGCACATGATAATATTCCAGACCAGGCCTCTCATTGAGGACCTGAGCCACAGCAGGCTGGTAAAGGAGACCGGTTTTATGTAATATCTGTGCGTAGCAGTTTCCGTTGACCTCCTGCAGCTTGTTGTTTACATGTATTGACGATGCACCATAATTATCAGGACAGATAAATGATCGGACGATAGTGGGAAGTTAATATTCATTTACATCATTGGGACAGTTGGAACACAGTCGATCAATGATGGGTTGATGTTAATAATCATTTCTTACGTGCAGGTATACACGCTGCCTCTAACGGTGCTCCCATCAGGATGTTTGGTCACTAGAAGCAGCGTCGGCCTGATACCGATCACTGAACTCTGGGTCTATTTACAGACTAATGTTTATAGTGTATTTATTATTATTTACTGTTTCTAACAACGTTGTATATTTACTATTGAAACAAGGAACATAAACAAAGTGCATCAGTGCAAACAAAACTACTGTGCCTCGTTATTTTAATCTAAAAACGTCCACATGATGTTCTTCCACTGTGAACTCATAGCAGAAGAATGGGGCCACAGTGGTGAGACATTACAGACCTGCTCTGTTTTGTTTTCAGACCATTTGACCATTTTACTCTGAATATTTGAGTTAAAACAAGTTACCTGCAGCTTCACTGTATCTGTTTTACAAACTGAATTATAGACAGTTCCATTATTACTCTAATGACATTATAACATGGTGTGACAGACTACATGCAGCTCATTTGAACCCACCAGTGTTAGTCTGTTCACGTCAGTCTGCAGGAAACCCATTCTTAGCTGATAAAAGCCACCCACAGCTGCTCTGTTTCACTCCATGTGGGCTCAATAAAGTCACCGCAGTGTTTGTTTCAGTTTCCATGTCAAGGGTTGTGTTTTCACCTCAACATCGCCGTGCATGATGGGAGAAATGATGGCACACAAGGTCACGTTGGAAATGTGACTCGTCTGTTCACCGCTGATGTGTTTAAACGCTGTCCGTCTCTCCGCAGATGCCTGCCTGTACCAGTGTGAGAGCATGGAGGAGGGCGAGGACGGAGACTTCGGCCGGGGGTTGAAATACGAACCGCCGGTAAGGAGACAAAAGGCTCGCCGCTCTGGTTTCTGTCCGGGACTGAGAGTGTAACTGATGCTCAGCCTAATATGCAAATACTCTTCCCTTTTTACAGAACTTATTTCACACATTGGTCAGTTAATGTCTCTTCCCCTAACAGTTAGGGGGGTTTGAAAGTATCTGTAGCTGCTCGGTGCATCTGTTAGTCCCTCAGTCCGCTACTTTGGTCTACAGTGAACCATCTTTACAAATATTGGACTGACTGCTGGGAGATTTGGTGCAGACGTTCGTGCTCTCTACAGGATGAATCCTGATGGCTTTGGTGATCCTCTGAGTTTTCATGTAGCGCCACCATGTGGTCAAAATCCTCCTGAAACTGGCTAAATTCCTGTCAGCTTACAACATTCTAGTCTGACCCTGCGGATGACCATGATAAGTGATTTCACTGTCTTGTGGTCAGTGTTTGTCTACCTGTGCACAATATGAACATTTAATATCACCATTATATTATGTTTCACAACTTTATCACAACAATCCTCCAAATATACTTAAAACTCTTAAAACTCAATGTAAACGTGGACTTACTGTACAGTTGGTTATGAAACTTTACTGCCCTGCTCTTCCTCTGCACCGCTCATAGCAACCCAAAGACATGGTGGTCCCTATTGACGATAGCTTTAAAACGCCAGCTGAAAATAATCAACTCAACATTTAGCCAGCGCAGAAGTGATTATTATTATTATTATTATTATTATTATTATTATTATTGTTTACTGAGAAATGTCCTGCTGTCCCTTGAACCCTTAGTTAAACACATTTACATTGTGTTGGCAGCAGCAGCTTAACTCAGTCTGTAAACCTCAGTGAGCGCAGACGACGGGTCAAAGAATAATCAGGCTAATTGTGTGTAACAAGCGTGTACACACACACACACACACACACAGTCACACACACACACACTCACTCACAGGTTAACATACTAACTAATCCAGTCATTGTTTGACCTAATTTCCCTCCTATTTTTTTCCTCCCTCTCTCCCCCTTTCCCTCTCGCAGTTTGACAATGACCTCGTGCTCACCCTCGATCCGGACAACCCCACGTCGCCATGGCGCCACCTTGACGACAACCTTCTCACAGGTATAGACCGGCCAGGCCCGCGGGGGCGCTCACTGGGAACCTTAACCCCCTTCGCCTCAGACTGTCTCTGAAACGTGAGACGCTTTATCCTCACTCCTGTCCCCACAGTCCCCACAGTCCCCACAGTCACTGTGTCTTTGTGCGGTTTTACTTGCTGGAGTCAAGACGTTGTCCAGTAGTACATTTTATAAATCTAGATTTGTTCTAGAGAGATCACGTTTGTATTTTTCTTATTGTCAACAAACAGCGTGTTACTGCGTCTCCTAATACTCTCTGACTTCCTGTCTGTGGTTCCTACTGAAGAAGTTAATCTTTAAAAACACAAATAGTTTCATGAGTAGAATAAACTACAGTGTGTGTGTGTGTGTGTGTGTGTGTGATGGAGGAACAGCCACAGTGTGACTCATTGATGTGTGTTTTTTATGGTTTTTGGAGCGGTGGTGGAGCTCTGTGGCTCAGAGGCTTTGATACTAATAATAATACCTGTCAGTGGATACATTCATTGTGTGGTTTCGGTGTGAACATGAGCTTTGATGATCAGAAGATGAAAACACAGGATGTCACCAGACGGATCCTTTTTAAAATCCAGCAGCAGGCACAGAAATGAACTTCCTTCCAGATATTAAGTTGTTTTATCTTTAATATCAGATAGTAATAATAGTATTAAAAAGTTTAATTTGTCCTGTGGCATCAAAATACTAACTTACACTGTCACGAAGTCCATCTTCCTTTATTACAGAAGACTCACACAATGTGGAACCAGAGCTTTTACTTTGATTCACTTGTGTGAAGCTTGCCGTCAACTCTCATTATTATTATTGTATATATTATTTCCACACGCTACTTAAAAAGCACTGTTCACTCTTACTGAATGTCTTACAGCAGAGATAAAGTGAAGCCTTTTGGTAGCTTTGGTAGCTTTTAGCTCTGAGCATACGCTCAGTTATTATACACAGCCCTGGCTCTGTAGCCGGGAAGTGGATCGGACCGAGCCACACGGCACACGGTCACTTCCTAGTTTCCTAGCAGGAAGGTTGAGTATCGCTGTCTGGAGCCGCACCTCTGCATGTTTGCAGCAACTTCAGCACTAACCCAGAACATAGATAACACCGTTGTTCACTATATATCAGGTGTTTGTACTGGACTTGTTTTGAACCTTTTTAAGGTCAGCACTGTGATGGGTTAGGGTTAGTGCTTTTTGTTTGATGGAGAGCTGAAATAACGGCACAGTGAGAGCGAATTACAGCCAGGATGGATCTCCTATCGTTTTATTTATTCTATTGTTCACTTTTTAAAATGCAGTTTATGTCCTCTGCAGAATTATAGTTTTTTCAGTTCTACAGATTTTCTATGGGGGAATAACATCATTATGTGTTAATTATTAATAATACTGTTAGTATTACTGTTACCAGTCTGGGTTCTGAAATCCTCCAATTAGTCCTTAAAGTCTTGAGGTTGTAAATGATTCATTATTATAACTTGAAACTCACATTTAACCCTCATCTGCTGCCACTTTGACGTCACATGACCTCAGTCTCTTGATGTTTGTGCGTCTCTTTTCTCTGAAGGGGAAACTCCTGTGATAAAAAATGAAATGACCATCACTCAGCCATTACCAGTGGAAATGTGTAAGTTCTCCAGTTTCTTTAAGAGTCGTGTGTTGAACAGAAACAGATCTTCCTTCGTACTCTGTTGATCTGATTGTTTGTGTGTCCAGTGTTCCAGGTGAAAGCGGAGCCTCCCTCTCCTGCATCCTCGCTCGGGTCCGACTGCTCGGCGTCCTCACCAGACCCACAGGTGTGTGTTTACCTGAGCTTTTGCTCCTGTTCATTGGTGTAAGCAGCAGAAGCAGTTTGCTTCCTCTCCTGTGCATCATGTAAAGGTAGAACTCTCTGTCTTCTCTTCCGGTGCAGATCACGGTTAAAGGTGAAAACCCTCCGACTCCTCCCTACATGTACGGAGACGTGCTGTCTCCTCCGCTGGGGTCGATGGAGATCACCGTGGCAACAACAGCCGTACCTCCACAACAGACACAGCTACAGACGCCGCTAACGACGCAGATCCCAGCGGTCATCAGTGGAATACAGACGCAGGCGGCAGGTCGGTCACCAGCAGAGGCTCTGAGGTTGCTGCTGTGTTTCTCTACTGTTACTGTGGTGAAAGGCTGAACGTAGAAGCAGCTGCTGGTGTTGTGATTGTGGTCAGATGTGTTTTATTGGAGGAAAGAGGCTTTAATATTTTGTCTGTGCTTTGGTGGCTTTTGCTGCTGTTCATATTCCCTCCTTACTGATCCACAGTACTACAACCATGATGGATTGGCTGGAGTAGCAGCAGAATGAAGTTGTTCTTGAACTCAAAGTGTTTTTTGACGGATGGACTGATGGATCAGAGGATTTTAGTATTACGTCTGTGTGCGAGAGACAAAAGAAGAGAGGGATCACTTTGTTATTGAAATGGAGCCTCAGGCTGTTGTTGGTTTCTAGTTCACTGCCACACCTCCACTTATTTTTACTGATTCATTTATTACTTTCCAGAGACAATGCACCTTGATTAGCATCACAGTCACTGTGCTCGTGTTTCAACTGTTGTCCCTGTGGTAAATTAGCCAGTAAAACAACAATAAGAAACAACATCTAAAATTAGAACAGCGTGAAGCAGAGGAGTGAAGCAGCCAGGAAGTGGAATGCAGAGGAAGTGAAGCAGCGGGGGAGTGAAGCAGAGGAGTGAAGCAGCATCCTGTAAAGTAGGACATGAACAATGCACACAATTAATACAAAAACAATCTTAATCAGACATTCAGTTCAAGCAGTTAAAGGATCTGTTGTCAGAAATGGAATATAATATTCATAGGTATGGGTTCTACTGAGTCTGCAATGTTGAACCACCAGACAAACACTGGCTCTACATACGGCCTTCCATACATTGAGCGGCCACAATTTTAATGACAAACATTTACTGACACATATAAAACCAGCTCAGTAGCTTCATATCTGATGGACTGAGATGAAGCGTGTGAAATATATAGAAAGATATGTCGTATATACGATAACATGTATAGCAACTAAGACCGCATGACAACATCTGCTGACGCTATCTCAGGGTCTAGTTCACACCTAAAGGTTAAGTGTAGCGTGAGTTTGACAGTCAGGTTGTTAAGTTGTTGGAGCCTGAAGGGAAAACTCTGGATTTACTGGTTGTTTCAGTTTCAGAGGTATTCAGTACAGTCCTCACCCCAGGACAGACCCACAACCTGGGGAGGGATTACTCTCCCATCTGGTTTACTCTGCTGCTGCTGCTGTGGGAGAAACACTTCACTAATACTAATACATAATGTATAAAATACTCTACTACAGATGTTTCATCAGTTACATTTACTTAACGTGTTAAAAGTAAAGATTTTCTGACTTTTATCTTTGGATCGTTTCACCTCTTTGGGTCTCAAACAGTCCAACATTGAGAGAAGTTTCTAATGAAACTGCAAACAACTCAAACATCTGAAACATGTTGAGGAGCCACAACTAAACACTGCATGAATGTGAGGGGTCACAAAGGTTGTAAAACACTGGTTCAGTCTTTAACAATGTTTTGTATTTTAGACATTGTGAAACAAACGTAGAGGAATAAAATGTCGTAGCAGACAATGGAAATACTACTTCAGAAGTACTTCAGTGTAAGTACTTGAGTGAAAGTACGTAGTTGCATTCCAGCTCTGCACTGCAGCTCAGAACCTGGAAGGAGAGCAGAAAGTGGGTGAATGGTTGAGAGGACAGCAGCTCCAGTAAACACACAGGTCGTCTTTCTTTGTGTGTATGCAAATGATTCAAGTGAAAAAACTCACTTGTATAAAACCTGAGTGTGTGCATGTGACGCAGTGCTCGCCATCTGCAAACGGCTATTTACATAACTCGATCATTGCATCAGTTCTGTGGGTTTCCACTTCACTCTGAGGTCACAGCCTGAGTCATTGTGGACGGCTGCAGTGTTTCTACAGCGAAGGCTGAGCTGAACGCCGTCTAACTGAGTTCTGTTTCTTCCTGAAGTTCTGCCGAGCTCGGCCACAATAAAGGCCAGCACCATCCTGAGCACCAAACCCCCGATCCAGCCCAGACCAGTGTGTGTCACCACCCTCCCCGTCCCCCAGACCCCCGCGCCAGCCAAGACCCTCATACTGCAGGGCCTGCCCCCCATGGACCAGACCAGACCTGGTAAGAGGGCAGAAATACACACACACATCCATCATGTGTTTCTTTGTGTGTTTGGATGTGAACGAGCTCGTACCGTACTGGATGTATTATATAATCTGTGACTGTGAGGAGGTTTGTGTTGAGGACACATGAGATTTACAGGTTTTATCCTCTCTTTGACAAATGATCTTCACACGCAGATTGCAGATAGATTTGTCCTACAGGGCTCTCTCACACAAAACTGCATCTTGCATTGTTTGACTAAGAATAATCAGCTCAGGTTTTGAGCCTTTTTGAACCTTTTGAGCTTCATATTTTAGTCAGGAAGTCTCGGCTCCTGCATCAGTCAGGCGCCACCTTCGTGTTTCCTTTTGGTGGCTTAACATCGGGAACGTGTTGACACATAAACACTGCATAGAAAGCGACAAATAGTGGTTATGATAGGTACAGTGAGTCAGTGGCCCTACGCTGTGATTAAATCTTTCAAATGGAGATACCAAACTAATCTATAATCTTGTTAATTCAGTGGCTCTAACTATCAGTTCATTGGGAATTGAACCTTTACCTCCAGCAGTACCAGAGCAGTGATGACCCGTCTCTTCCTGTCTTTCCTCCTCCAGTCGTCTTGTCTCCATCCGTCTGCCTCGGTTCGGCTCCGGCCATCGTCAAAATGGAGCCCGTCTCTCCCAGCATCCCCCAGCACTGCTCCAGTCCCACGGCTCCGCCCACCAGCAAACCCATCGTCCCGGCGACGACGACGATACCCGGCAACAACTCCAACGACATCGATGTGAGTAGGCTGGACGTACTTACTCACACAGTTCAAACCTCAAACAGATATGCGCCTCTGGTCGGGTGCCACGCCTGAGACCAGTGTCTTAATTTGGACAACAGGGACATGAGGAATGTTTACCAAAGGGATCAAGTGTTGAATGAAGAAAGATTAACTGATCAAATGAGTAAACACAGCTTCAATCATCAGATTACTGGAGATCGTATGTTGAATGATGGACAGTTACAGTCGCTCTGTGGTTGTTGGATCCATAAGATCACACATGTGTTGGATTGGATCTGAAATGGATCATCAATACACCCGGAAGTTTTTTATTTAAACAAAATAAAACAATTTTAGTTTTTTTTACACAGTAAAAGGTAGTTTATGGTGAATACTTGTGATGCTGTTGTCATTATAGCCAGACATTATTACATTCAGCTCTGTTAAATCATCTCATTGTTAATAAAGAGAAAGAAAGCTTCACATTTTGGCCACAGTAACTGTCTGCTGTTGGGTCCTAAAGGCAGGAATACCCATCCATGTTTGTTCTGGTGGTTTCTGTTGCTGTTGCAGCCCCAGTTAGGACAGAGAGGCTCACAGATTCCACAGAAATGTTTGAGTTTAGAAATCTTTTGAGAGATAAAAAAGAATTGATTGTTTTTAGCATTAAGTGTTGCTTACTGTTTGCTGTAGCTCAGATTTAAAACTCTAGATCATCGTTATCAATCAGGAATAATAAATATAGGAAAAGAAGTTAACACAGCAGTATGTTCAGTTCAGAGGGAGGATGTGAAGTTCTCAGTTTCACCTGCAGCCTCTTATATAATGGCTGTTCAAACATCAGCTGAACTTCATTCCTTTTTCTCCTCCTCCTCCTCCTCCTCATTGATTCTCCAACACATCTCCTCTTTTTTCATTCTTCCTGCCCTTTCTGTCCTTCATCTTCCTCCAATCCTCCTCCTCCTCCTCGTGCAGATGAAGGTGCTGAAGCGGCAGCAGAGGATGATAAAGAACCGGGAGTCGGCCTGCCAGTCGAGGAAGAAGAAGAAGGAGTACCTGCAGAACCTGGAGGCTCAGCTCAGGGAGGCGCAGCAGGAGAACGAACGTCTCCGCAGAGAGAACCAGGCGCTGAGGGAGAGACTGGCCGGGAAAGAGGTGAGAGCTCTTCATCCTCTTCATCGTCTGCTGCTGTGCAATTAAAACTATTATACACTTATTTGTGAGTGCTGCTGACTTTATTCACCGTTTCTATCAAACTCTTTAAACTTTAAAGTTGAGCAATCAATAAATGAGGAAGAAAGGAGTAAATATCTCTTCTGAATGTGAAAGAGCTGTGAGTAAAGCAATAATCGCACTGATTTCCCTGCAGAGGGACAGCTGCTGCTTTTAAATTCAATTAACAACAACAGGTTGAACAGGAGGAAATAACTGCAGGGAGGAAGAAACCTGTAAAACCTGATGATGGTAATCTGTGGGAAAGTCAGACACTGCAGGCCGGTCTGCGAGCAGGTTATTTATTGAACCAACGCAGACACTGCAGCAGGAATCTGTACATGTATTTTAAAAATCAAACTAATTTCAAACTGCTGGTTTACACATACACATACAGTATCTGTGTTTATGTTTCTTGTTGGTGTCTTTCAGGGCAGCGACTCAGCGAGCAACAAGCGAGCCGTCTGTGTCATGGCCGTCCTGCTGTTCATGACCTTCAGCTTCGGACCCGTCAGGTATCCTGCATACAGCTGTTCATAGGCATCTTAAAACTCACTCTTCTGCTTTTTCATGATTACAGAATCACAACACGACAACGTCCTGATATGAGAACATAGATCAGTTCTCTAGAAATCTATAAATAAAGAAAAAAGTTTGTAGTAGAGCCCGACTGATGTGGGGTTTCTGAGACCAATACTGATTTTTGATATAGGGATTGTTCTGAGCTGGAATGAAGATTATGATCCTGACCGATATGATTCTGCAAACGGCTGCGATAGGCCAATATCTGCCGATAATATCAGCTAACCGATATATTGTTCGGGCTCTCTGACTGAACCTCGCTGTTCTTCTTCACTGCAGCATCACAGACAGGAAGCTGTCGGGCCTACAGGAAGGCGTGGTGTCGTACACGGGACGGCGTCTGCTGGAGTTTGAGAAACAGCGGTATCAGCAGCAGGAGGCAGCCGCTCAGCCTGCGAGCAGAGTGGAGGACAGAACGGAGACGGAGGAGGAGGCAGGGGACGAGGCTCCGGAGTCAGACCAGTTCAGGTGAGACGAGTAAACCAGAAATCTTTTAATGTTTTAAAAAAAAATTCCTGTTACATTAGTTTGTCTCCTCTGTTCATCGCTCACTCTGGAAATGAAAGACCCGAGCTTTGCAAATTAGCTCGGGCTATAAATAATAAATAAAAAAGGATAAACAATAAAAACATATTTAATTAGCATGAAATAATCATGATCAGAACATACAAACAAAGTTAATATGAACAGCTTTAAATAAATAAAACAACAATGTATGTTGATATGTTGTTTGTTTGGCCCCAAACCTGATCTGAGTTCTTTAATATTGAATATGTGACCATCCAGAGTCTGATCTGATACTTAAGTTCTCCTAAAGTACATAATCAGAATCAGAAATACTTTATTGCCTTACAGTTGCTCATGTGCTAAACAAAGACAATTCTAAGAAATAGTAATAAGACAAATGTTAAAATATGTGCATTGTATTACAATACATAACAGTATATAAAGAAAATGGAAAAAAAAAAGTGTGTGGAAATGTCCATTATACTACAGTGTATAATAATGGTAATATATAAAAAAATAAGACATGTAAAAGGATGTAATATCAGTGTACTAATACTAATAATGAGGACTTACAATGCTGAAAACAGATCCGTGAATAAGTGTGCCAATGGAAAGAAAAGAAGCGTATCATTGCAGTGTTATTAATTAATGAGTGTTTGCACGTGCAGAAGTCAATACTGAACCTCCAAAAGAGCAGATTTACTCCTCAGAGCTGCAGAGTGCTTACTACACTGATGCTGTAAATGATCACAGCGCGGTGCCGTTAATTAAGAGCTGATGCTGGAAAGTGTTGATTCTCTGCTGCTGAGCTGTAAACAAGAGCTGAGGGAACCAGTTAACGCCGCTCAGAGCTCGGTGAATGATCAAACACGTTTCACTGCACTCACAGATAATCACACCATCAGCTCTAGAAATGCAGACAAACATGTTTACAGCGTCCAACGTAACTGGTTCTCAAACTGTCTCCATGTGTTTCTGTAGGAGATCCACCTGCTGCACACACACACTTTACTTACTGATGGTTTCTCTGCTGACTTCATCAGACTTAACCCTTTTCACTGTGTGTCTGTGTGTGTCTGTGTGTGTCTGTGTGTGTCTGTGTGTGTCTCTGTGTGTGTAGGAACCTGAGCGATGTGTTCAGTGACATGAAGGACTTGGTGCTGCAGGACATCGATCGTTACTTCTCCTCCTCAGACTGCAGACAGTTCAACCGCTCCGAGTCTCTCAGGTCAGTCCCTAAAACCTCTTTTACATTTCCTCCCTCTTTCATCTCCTCCTTCTCCTCCTCCTTCATCTCCTCATCCTCATTCACCTCCTTAGACTCTAACAGGAAACAGGTCAGCTCAGAATGAACTTAAAGAAACTTTTTCTTCTCCTCTAAAGACAATCAACATTCATTGGTTCATTTACACATCAGCAATAATATTAAACTTCCACCCTTCCTTATTTCCTTCCTTCTGTCCATCCATACAATGTTTGATGTAAAGGTACAGGATGATAATGTGAGGAGCTGGCAGTTAGGAATGAACAACTTAATATGATATTAATAAATGAAATAAGGTAACAAATAAGAAGCTAAGGTTGAAATTCTACTAAGAAATGATTTATTTACTGAATCAACCTCTGTTGTCTCTTCCCGTCCTCCATCCATCCATCCATTAGCAGGCAGGACACAAGAGTACAACTTCTTTAGTCTGAGTTTAATGTTGATCTCTGTCTAAGCTGAGCTGTTGGTGTTTTTCAGGCTGGCAGATGAACTCAGAGGTTGGGTCCACCGGCACCAGATCGACAGGAAGAAGTCCGGAGGGAAACCAAAAGTCGTCAAGAAGGCCAAAATCGCTCAGGTCCAGTCAACAGCGTCTTCTTCCTGTTAATAAAGCCTGTTTATGTTCTGTTCTTTAAGAGAACATAAACAGGCGTTCTTTAATTCTATTAATATCTGTAGTTGAACAGTAAAGCATACATATAGTTTATATACGATGGGTTAAATGCAGATTATTTATGTTCTAGTTCTACTTTATGTTCTCCTTCCTTCAGAACATAAACTAATCACATCATCAGAGATCATCAAGGTTTCCTATTAATCCTGTTTCTGTCTTTTCTCTTGCAGAAAGCTCAGCTGAGGAAGACAAACTTCTCCAGATACCTGCCGATCCAGACTCACCGCTCCATAGAAAGGTTCGTTACACTCAGCAACAATACACATGTGAAAATATATGAAAGATATTCTGTAACTCCCCCTTAAAGAGCTCGTTCAGTCATTACATGAGCTGTCAGAAATGCAAACTGCTGTGAAACTGAAATTGAACAGAAACTGAGAAACAACACGAGTCCTGTTTCTGTGGGTGGTTCTGTGCAGTGAAGGTTAATAATGGGGTTGAACTTGTTGTTTCTGTGTGCAGTCAGCTGCAGGTGCTTCCTGGTCCTGAGGTCACCTACAGCGACTTCCTGGACGCCATCGACCGCAGAGAGGACACGTTCTACGTCGTCTCTTTCAGACGGGTACGAGGAGTTGCTCCACAGCTCAGTCCTGACAAACCAGACAGACCGATAACTGTCTGTGTTCTTTCTTGTGCTCACCTTCCTCCATGTGTTTGCTGTAGATTGATCTCAGAAAAGGTGGTTCGTTGGTGGTTTGTTGGAGACTTATTGAAGCCCTGTAGTTTAAAGTGTCTCCTGTGTGTCTCTACAGGATCACCTGCTGTTACCGGCCATCAGCCACAATAAAACCAGCAGGCCTAAAATGTCTCTGGTGATGCCGGCCATGTCTGTGAACGGTGAGTCTGATTATTAAACACATCACAGCCTGTCCTTTCAAAATAAGAGCTGCAGAGATGTTTAATATTCACATACGAGCTCAGACTGCAACTACTGCTAACTACTTCTTTTTTGGTTTTACCCATATCATTTTATATTTCCTTTAGCAAAGTGTAGAATCCTTTTTATGTCCGAGGGTACAACAACAAAACTATGCAGGTTTCTTTTTCTGATTGATATCACCATTAACTTTTCATCTCACCAATTTGAATCTTCACATATTTGTCTCACGATATATCTTTACATTCAGAGATTAATAGTTAAAAGAGAAACTATGTGAATAATGAAAGAACTTTGATTTAAAAAAAGTCAGATTTATTGGGTTCATTTTGGGGGGATTTGTAGAAAAACCGTAAAACAACCTAAAAACTGAACTATGTCTGGTTTGATGTAAAAACATTTTTTTTTTTTTTTTTACAAAGACATCATATATTTGTTCTTGTATACTTATAGTTATTAACTTTGTCTCTCCCTCCTCCTTTCTCTCCTCATTCTTCTACCTACGCTCCTCCTCACCCTCTCCCCCCCTCCCTCAGAGAGTCTGTATAACTCCTCGAAGGGTTATGAGATGATGATGCAGGTGGACTGTGAGGTCATGGACACCCGCATCGTCCCCATCAAGTCCTCCGCCGTCCCGCCGTCTCTCCGCGACCCTCCTCCGCCTCCCCCCTCCTCCCACCATAACTCCCACCATCACCACGGCAACCACACCTCGCTGCGAGGGCGCCACCATCATCACCCCTCCTCCTCTCCCTCTTCCTCCTCACCGTCCTCGCCATCGCCTCAGCAGCAACCTTTACCCGCCCGCCGACGCACAGCGGAATATTTAATCAGCCAATCAGAAGGGGTCTAATGAGGCATCGCCACGGTGATTTGGAAAGAAGAGAAGGATAAAAAACGGATATCTTTAAAAATGACTTCATCATCCCAACGACAGGTAACAAATAAACGTCTCTTCTTCCTGGAAAACGACCAAAAGTTCCTGTCGCCAAACGCAATGTCCCCGTTCCCGTAGAAGATAATGTCCTAATATTTAAGAATATATTTGTAGAAATGAAAGTGGGATGCAGACGCGGCAGCACACTGCACTTAGAACCAGTGCTGCGTTTTAATATTTAACAGTGACAATGTTTGAATGAAGTGCAGAGACAGGAAGCTGACAGGCGGTCACCACCCGGCTCGGCCCACAGGTGGCGCCGCCGGGCTGCACAGTTACAGTTTAAAACCTCTCCAGAGATCAGGATCTATATTTTTCTGCACTTTTTGCCCGTCAGAGTGAAATCAGCAATAACCCAGTTAATGAATGACGGCGCTCGTAGCTGTGCAGCTCCAGCGGGTCCTGCTCCTCCTCCTGACTCCGCTCTCAGTCGTGGTTTCTGTGGTGTTTGCATTTGTATATTTGTGTTGTTGTGGGAATTAGACTACATGTAGAGAGTACGGTATCAGGACTGACGGCTGCTGCGTGAAGTCGGATCTAAAAGTTAGCTGGATGGAGAGATCCTCTGCTTCTGGAGGACGAGACAGAGATAACTAAATATCAGTCTTTATTATTTATTAAAGGATCGTATAAAATAAACATTTACAATATGGATCCCTTAAAGTTTGTTATATAAGAATTGTGTAGTGAGCAAGACATTTTACAAACTATAATGGAGACTAAATGACCTCAAACACGTCGAATATTATTATTATTGTTATTATGATTATTGGTTAATCAACATACAGCCAAAGCTTATTGATATATCAGTTTATTTCAGTTCCTGGCAGCTGAACATTTTGAGTTGCAGGTTTTTGTTCTTCATGTGGTTTCTAATTTACACATCTCAGAGGAGCTGCAACAGCTTACAGTGTAAAACAAATCTCAGAATACAATGCAAACAATTAGACAATTGATTAATTAGTTAAGCAACTCAGTCAAATATAAACATACAGACACATATTCAGACCCAGTGGGGTCACTCTTTCTGACGTCCATCACAGATAACCGTCCATTAATCTGCTCAGAAACCACTGGAAACATTGGATCATTGGACACTTTTCCTAAGTGTCAGAGTAATCCAGTAATAGTTGTTTGCAGAGTACCCATGAATGTTCAAACAGGAAGTGCTAATAGATCATTCGGCGTACTTTTAAAGTCGCAAGTTTACCAAACTATAAACAGATATAAGCGAACAGACAGACAGATAATAATAATATATGATTATATGTTTATAGTAATATAATATGTAATATGTTAGAATATGGAGGTTAAAATACAGAGGTCTTAGTGCCTTGCTCATGGACTCTTGCCCTCCTGTTCCCAGCACACAGAACCACTTCAGATCTCTGAGATCCGACTTCCTGTTGCATCCGTCAGATTTATTCATGTTTATTTTATTTTTTTTAAGAGAATTCCTGTTGTTGTTTTGAATGGAGGATTATTTAATATCTGTAAATATCAGTGTTTACTGTAGATAATTTGTCACTTTTATATATTTTTTTAATTTCTTTTTTCTTTTGACAACAAACAGTAAAACAATAAAAAAAAGAATAAAGTCCTGGAATAATGAGGCAGTGGGGAAAAAAATGAACTGATGTTGAATTTTATATTTTTTATTCTTGTGTTCAGTTCAGTGGACCAACCAGCTTCACTCGCTCATAACTCAGGATGTTCTGTCCTGATATATTTATGAAATTAATACGCTGATTTTTTTTATTGTACAGAATAAACTACAGTTCCTCCTGTAACGACACTATATGATCAGTTTGGTTGTAAAAATTTACTGAAACCCTCCCAGAAAAAATCCTTACTGCCAAAACAAGATAATAATCAAGCCTTTGCAGATGATGTAATATTTTTTATTGTAAAAAATGTGTCGAACTTTTGCTTTTTCTTCTGACCAAAACAATGTTTCAGATTATTTCTGTCTTTTTTCTCTTGTCTTTGTGTCTTTGCAACTCATGTCAGTTTCCAGCCTTAGAGTTTGAAAGACGTGTCCATTTATCAGAAGAAGCTGTTGAGTTGCATTATGGGAAATGTAGGATCCAGTGGTTTTGGGGTTTCACCTCTGCAGCACATATTCTTTCTGTTTTTTTTAATGTGTCGCTTTAATTCCTCTACTTTATGGAAGTAAAATACTACAGTTGAGTTCCCCCTTCAGAGTTCACAGGTTTAAAGCAACAAAAAGCAAAGATTGACAGTTAAAGAACTAAAACTTGAGGTTTACCACTCAATTATTTGCCGTATCGTAAAAGAACTACCTGAATATTTTGTATTTGTTAATACAAAGTGTGAGAAAAGTTAAGAAACATTAACACACATTAACATCAGTAAAACGGTGAATTGTTGTTTTTACACTTTTTGCACAGATGAATCAAACGAGAGATAACCTCTTAATTAGTTAATGAGAATAAGATTTTAGCTGTTTGTCCGTGGATTTTGTTTCCTTTGGACACAGCCAGGCTAGCAGTTTCCCCCTGTTTCCAGTCTTTATGCTAAGCTAAGCTAACAGGCCTCACATTTACTGTAAGACATGAGTCAGACTATCACTTTAAA